TGATACACGGGGCAACTTTTTGTTAACCTTCAATGTTGCTTGCGCACTTTCCCATTGAGAATGGGTAACAAATTTCTATCTGGATACTTTAGATCAGTCGTGGGCCCTGTGTCTCACCTGGTTGCCCATTGAAGGCAACATTGCTCAAAAAGTTGCCCTATGTATCATCATCAGCCGTAGATTAGGTCACTAGTAACATAAGGACCAAGGTCGCAGGTTCGATTCCCAGGACATACTACACATACAACTTTAAAGTCACTTTGCAAGTCATCACGTTATCCATTTCAGTGTGAACAACCCTTATTTCTTAAACTACAGTCATCTGTAAGGAATGCTCAGTGAGGGTGAAAGTATCTATGATGGCCTCTCTGTCTATAATATAAAGCTGTGTAGACAGTCTTCAGGCGGTGTGCAAGTGTGAAAGTAGTAACTGACCCTTCCACCTACAGACCAATGCTGTCAAAAACTGTTCACACATTCTAAATCTTGAACAACATGTCTCAAGAACACCAATCTACTGACGCTTATTTTAGGGCTGTGTGAAAAGTATTTTCCATAGCTGGTGAAGGATACATTGCAGCGGTTATACTTAGCTTTATGTGCGACACCCTTTCAGATTCCACTGGGGCACAATGGGGGCCAGTATAATCACTGCAGGACCCCGACATAAACAAGTCCTGCTGCTCTTTCTCAAGATGCCACCAAATACAGACGCTTTGACCTTTTTCCTAATTTTATCATCTACATACACACACGCATGACTGTTGGATAACCTGTTCTGACTCCAAGTATACGAGACCATATGTTCACTGACGATTTGAGAAGCATAAAGCAATTTTACAAAACATGATAACTACTTAAATGGAAACTGAAAATACAGCTTGGGAGGCATTTATAGCACATTGTTCATTCTCTAAATTGCATTCTCTGAAGTTAATCATTGATTATTTGCTATCCTAAAAGCAAAAATGCCTCGTAACATATTATAAAAGCTATAAAATTCTATCTGTAACTGCTGTGAATGACAGGCCATTAGAGATACCATCACAGCATAAAAAAACAATAACAATGCTCCTGTATGCCTCTGTTGTGACATGGCCCGTGTCCTAAAGGGTCTTTACGATGTAAAAGCCTTCTTGGCCTTAAAAGGGTCATGACATACTTTTAAAAGGTCCACTTAATTTTCTGCAGCCAAACAGACCGTTTTCAATTAAATGAGTTGTTTTGCGCGACCTTTGCTTCAAAGCTTCAATGTAAACAGCCATTGTAATGCTTGGCTAACATCTTTGCATAGGAAATAAATCACAAAATAATCAAATAATTCAATCAAATAATGTAATACTCTTGACAGGCCTTATTGTGCCCTTTATTCAAGGTGATTTGGAAGAAAAACTGATGTCCAAATGTTTTCATATATTTGCCGAAAATACTGGAAAGAAATGCTCTAAATAGGTCCAAACGTTTTTGTGCTGAGAAGAGCCGTGGGCGAATCTTTTAAAAGCACTGATGAACAGCTTATTAGACCCAGAGCGTTTGGATGTGCTCATATTAATGATCAGCTTTGCTCCGCCCCTTTCCCATCTTATCATGTTGTTTGCTTGTGTCTGACTTGGACTTACTAAGGCAGCTGCCTTCCAAAGCTGTTCATGCAGAGACTAAAGGGCGCAGGATTAGCAAAGTGTACCTAAGATCGTAATACTAGTAGATACTAGACAGACAGGGCAATAATCAAATAATTCAATCAAATAATGTAATACTCTTGACAGGCCTTATTGTGCCCTTTATTCAAGGTGATTTGGAAGAAAAACTGATGTCCAAATGTTTTCATATATTTGCCGAAAATACTGGAAAGAAATGCTCTAAATAGGTCCAAACGTTTTTGTGCTGAAAAGAGCCGTGGGCGAATCTTTTAAAAGCACTGATGAACAGCTTATTAGACCCAGAGCGTTTGGATGTGCTCATATTAATGATCAGCTTTGCTCCGCCCCTTTCCCATCTTATCATGTTGTTTGCTTGTGTCTGACTTGGACTTACTAAGGCAGCTGCCATCCAAAGCTGTTCATGCAGAGACTAAAGGGCGCAGGATTAGCAAAGTGTACCTAAGATCGTTATACTAGTAGATACTAGACAGACAGGGCGTCTGGAGCTTTGCCACTCACAGAAGATGGTCTGAACTTGTTTTGGTGACGATCATTATTTAAGCAACACAAATGCACACTATACTTCTGTTCCAAAACCTACCAAGATGGCATTTTACAGCATCACATGTGTCCTCCTGACAAAAAGACTGTTTTAAAAGATACGCAGTAAGATTATGCTGCCTTTTAAGACCTAATTTTGTTCAAATTCTAAGGCAGCAGAGCATGTATCCTTCACAGAAAAAGCAATACCAAAATGCATTGCAACAAGCTGACCAAAAAGAAGGTTGACTAAAAATATACTACCGTTCAAAAGTTTGGGGTCATTAAGTTTTTGTTTTTTGGAAAGAAATTAATAATTTTATTCAGTGAGAATGTATTGATCAAAAGTGATAGTAATAATGTTTCAAAAATTCTATTATACAGTTTCTATTCATCAAATCCTGACAAATATACATCTCGGTTTCAACAAAAATATTAAGTAGCAAAACTGCTTTTGCTGATAATAAGAAATTAATTAGAAACAATAATAAAAGAATAATACGACACAACATCGATAATAGCGTCGATGTTGCAAATCAGCATATTAGAATGATTTCTGAAGGATCATGTGACACTGAAGACTGGAGTAATGATGCTGAAAACTCAGCTTTGATCACAGGAATAAATTGCATTTTAAAATATTGGAAAATAGAAAGCAGTTATTCTAAATTATAATAATATTTCAGAATTTTACTGTATTTTTGATCAAATAAAAGCAGTCTTGGTGAGCATAAGAGACTTCTTTCAAAAACATAAAAAAATATTACCCACCCCAATGCTTTAAACAGTAGCTTACTTTAGTTCAGTACTGAAAAGTATACATAAAAAAAAAACCTTTTCAACACTCAGAGTGTCACATTGTTAGAAAAGCAACATGTCAATTGTCAAAATCAAAAATCAATTGTGAAGTTTCTTGAATGCTATTTCCATGATGCAATGAGTCCATGCCTATGAATGTTATAAATAATTCACTTGTGAGAACCCTTAGAAGGGAGCGGTTAATGGAACAAAACCAATAACAGCAGCAGAGCCAAACAGATAATTTTTTTTTTGGAAAGAATGCAAGAATATAAATCTGTCTTGCTTCAGCGAGGATTTCTCAATGTTGTTTTGACACATGCCAACTCTCATGGCTGTCTCTTTATTAGGATTAAAGGTTGAAGCATTTAATCACCTTAAACACGGAGCGACTGTCCAAACACTGTTACCTTATTATCACCGATTTGAGTCACAAACTTCTCACATTCTCTCCATTTAGTCTCGATCCAAAACATCTATCAAATTTAGCTTGGGTCAGAAAGAAACATGCTACCAATCCATTTTGTGTTACCTTACCAGACACCTCTCAACAGACCGCCTGATGTCTCATGGGAAGAGTTACAGGTTAATGACAGCTATTAATCATTCTCTCCACACCCTTACATACCATGTTTAAAATCTAGAGCATGTCTATAAAAACAGCTACACATAAAAAAAGATCCCAGACTCATTGACTTGATATGGCTCTGAAGTGCTAGCTTTATAACCTGGCATCAAGGCAAGGCCGCCTGACATTTAGGATGCTGGAGTTTGAAGTCATCCTCTGAAAGTGTGTCCCGATCGACTTCAGAAGAACAAAGAGCCAAGAGAGATCATGACTCGGACGGCTGATAGGTCAGTTATGGGTCTCAACGCAGCGGGCAGATGAAGATCAGGGACACCAGTGTTGAGGAAGCTAAAAGCTACTCATATTTTAAAGCAGCTAAGCTACAGTCAAGATACTCATGAGGGAAAGTAATTAGCTATACTACAACATGCAAACAAAAAAGTAGCTAAATACACTGAAGCTACTTAAAGGGTTAGTTCTCCCAAAAATGAAAATTCTGTCATTAATTACTCGCCCTCATGTCATTTCAAACCCACAGATACGCTGTTTTTGTTCAGATCAAATCACAACAACGTAGGAAACAGATCCGGCGTGACGCAGCTGACACAGAACAGCATACGCCGTTTACGTCCAGCGGATATTCTCCAAAATAGCACTACAGGGTGATGCGGAGACGACGAATTGTTGAATAAAGTTTTTTTTTTTTTCTTTTGCGCACAAAAAGTATTCTCGTAGCTTCGTATAATTGCGGATGAACCACTGATGTCACATGGATTATTTTACCGATCTCCTTACTACGTTTCTGGACTTGGGAACATTTCAGCTGTGTTGCGGTCTATGCAGGGTCAGGCGGCACTCAGATTCCATTAAAAATACCTTAATTTGTGTTCCGAAGATGAACGAAGGTTCAAATTTTCATTTTTGGGTGAACTACCCTTTAAGGGGAGAATATGTGTTTTTTTTTTTATGTATAACTACTAACTATTTGTTCATGCAATTTATAATTTAGCCAGAGGCATATTTGTCTGGCACAAAAACATTGTTCATTTAACTTGTTTATTGTTCATTCAAGTCAACTCCCATTTAGGGTACAGCATTAAACTTAATAAAATAAACCGATAAATTCATAGCAAATAACCAGAAAAACTGGAATACTGCCTAATTTATGTCATTCTAAATTATAGAAATTTTAGAAAACATCCTTTTATTTCTAAATTATGACAATTTTTGACGTACAAATCCTACTAACATTACAAGTGCACCTCCAAAAAAAACCTTACTGAACCTAATTTAATGCGTGAATGTAACGTGTGCTACTGTGACCTTAAATACACACACACACACACACACACACACACACACACACACTCATATTATATTGCACAGGGAGATGCCTGAGAGGGATCACAGACTAGACAGATCCCAGATTAAGATGTTTCTAAAACTATTTTTACCTGGAGGAGGGGGTGACATGGGCATGTTTAGGGGACAGGGAGGAGGGACCGTCCTCCCCGTCCCGCGGGAGCTCCTCGCAAGCCTCCAACTTCTCTTCCTCCAGGAGCTCAGTGATCTATAGGGGTGAGAGAGAGAGAGAGAGAGAGAGAGAGGGAAATATGAATATCATAGGCTTGCTGGCACCACTTCAGCAGCATTTATTTCATTGCATTAATTCATCATTAGCATTACATTACAGGTCAACATTTTACGCCCCTGTGAGATACAGGCAATATGCAACACCCCACACCTAAGCCGATTATGGGTGCAACTGCTAACTTATGACATCACACGTACGTTGACGATAACTACAGGATTTTATGCAATGCTGCCATGGATCCTGATGTTATTAAGTAGATACAATTGTTAAAATGATTATTTGATCTATTTTAGGCATGTAATTCAAATATAACTTTTAATAAATGTAGTATGTTAAATGTTCATTCATCTGGTCAATTCATTCATCTTTATATATCTGAGTGCGTGCTTTTATTACTAGTGTGGTTTTCCTGAAGACATGAGTGAATTACGTAACAAGAGTTCATGGTGCATATGAAAAATTGGTGTTGATGAAATTCAAATAGCATTCAGACCTTGGCACATAATGTTGAGGGCTACACATCCGTGTGTAAGATTCTATCTGACAGTATTTAATATCAGACAAACTTTGGCACTAGCACACAATCAAATGCACTCTGCATCTGCTGCAGTATGGCTGCCTTGTTTCCATAGCAACCATTTCCCTCCACATCTGATTGGGCTGCTGTTGAGCATCTGTGCAGATATGAGTCACATGCAGCGTGCGGAACGGCTGCCGAGGGCTCGGAGGATGACTGTATTTTCACACATCTCTATACGCTTACAGCCACAGTTCCCTCTCATTTATCTTTTGGACATTCTGCAATTTTAAGCCATTTTATTATAGGATCTTTCATCCCACCTGCCTTTATTTCTCCAGACTGTGTTATACTGCATATCTTAGAGGTGGGAATCCTTAGGGATCTCGCCATTTGATTTGCTCTGCTTTTTTCAGGAAGACAATGCAATTAAACCAAGACTATGCATTGTAATTATTCAGCAACAGCACAACTCAAAATGCGCATCCATGTAAAGATCTAGCATAAAAGTGTACCTTTAATGCATTCTAAGGTTAAGGACGATAAGGGTCTTGCCTTAAAAGGCAGCTGCCTATGTAGATAAGACAGCAAGGCAGCTCTCCAGGTTATGTCTTTTAGATTAACCTTTCCCAGGTCTGTATAATTCTGCCTAGGGGTGCTCCGATTGATCAGCTACCAATCACTATCGGCCGATAATCACGTTGGGATGATTGATCAGTGGTCTCTATAAAGGCTGATCTAAAAAAAAAAAAAAAAAAAATCCAAAGCCAATTAACCCGCCAGAAAGGGTTGGGCCAGCAACGGCGAATCGAGGCAGTGTCACATCGTCACTAAAGTTTATAAATTGCATTACTTTTTAATTCTTGCCCGTATTTAACCATCCAGTGCTTGCGAGCTCTCCTGAAGACCGTGCGCTCATGCACACTCGCAGCACACACACATAATGCCAGGTTCACATTACTCCGTTTGCAGTGCATATGTGGTGCGTATTTTTTCCGCGCTCATGTTAACGGGTTAATGCGGTCCGGCAGTGCGTTCAGGAGCGGTGCGTCTGCAGCAGAGCAGAGATCGTTTTCACACCGAGTCTGTTTGCTGCGCTGCAAGATCTGAATTCAAGTAACAGCGCATTGTTTGCAGTAAATATGAACATGGATTGACACAAAAATGTAGTAATTACACCATAAATGCATTTTATGAAAGTCTACTGTGTTTCACAATCAACACATATGGCTTTTTGGCTAGGTTTAAAGGGAAAGAGCACTTTTAGATAAACAAGGAAATAATAGATGGCACTCGTGGAGGTAGGAAAGCAAAGCTCTTTATGAACCGCAGGATTGCTTGTAATAAAGATTTCAATGCAAAAGGAAAGGCAGTAGAGCTGACTATTTCTGTCAATGGTAAGTTTGTGATAACGTAAGAAAAGCAGTTTAAATGTTTTGACACTTGCTTGAGCAACTTAATATATAAATTAAATCTATAAGTAAACGTAAAAGTAAAAAGCATTGAATAATGTGTTGCTTATATTTATTGTTTAAACATGTCTGTGAAAGATTGTATTACTGTACTGTGTAAAAGAAAATAATTGCAATGCTGAAAAAGCATTTTCAGTGACAATGTTTAAATTTGAAATCAAAATAATGGATAAATGTTGTATTTGTGGTAAACTCGGATCAGTAGCAGACTCCTGTGTAAAAGCTGCTTCCCCTCTCACAAGAGTCACCTAAGAGGGGAATTCCCCCCATTTTCCAAAATGAAATTCAGGCCCAGAATAAATGTCTAAAAATCCTGATTGGAGTATCACTATAAATGGGTATAAATGATTAAAAGAAGGCTTTAAAAAGATCGGTATCGGTGATCGGATCGGCAGATTCTGCTTTCTGATCGGCCTCAAAAACCCTGATCGGAGCACCCCTAATTCTGCCTGTTATGAAAGCGAGACATCCCTGGAGACCAGCACAGGTGCCAGAACCAAACTTGCATCACTCGGTTATGTAACTGTGGTTAGTATTGTCTTTGTACAAAGGGCTGTTTTCCCTTTTTTGCCAGTTTGACACAAGGGAGAAGGAGAAGGAGAAGTCTCTTGGAAAGAATTTACAGCCTATTATTAACCATTTGATGTGTACACGAAGAAAGCAGATATGTAAAGTCCGGTGAGATCAGAAATCTCAAGGTCCTTAAAAGGATGTAGAGTGTCATACAAATGAGATTTAAAACAATCTGCACTTTCAAAGAAAACAAATCCCAGCTTGCAAACACTCACGGACACACTGAACGGAGGAGACACGCCTTTGCAAGGATTTCAGTATATTACATAACACTGCAGAGCAGACATATTAACCTTCTAACACTGCTTTTCCTTTTTCTGTGCTTCACATCTGCTTGTGTAAAGCGCTGCCTCCACCTGGAACTGGGGCAAACGGCACACATTTTAAAAGCTTTAAACAAACATGAAGTGTTAAGTATATAATCGCCTTTTAAAACTCAAATCGCAATATCGCATTTGCAAGGTTTGGGCAAGTATTTTATGAGGAACAAAGCTAATACTGATTTACACTAAGCCTATTGATCTAGAAAACAAATGTACAACTGGCCCTAAAGAATTTTTAAGCGCTGCACTAATAATTAGCGGTGCAAACTGATCCAGTCACCAATATTTTTATAAGGGCCTCTTTTATCATCAATGTACATTTAGCAAAATGTCAACATTTATGGTAATGTTATCGCTCTTTGTGATAACTCTGGCCATTTGATAATACCTAGAATATCAAAATCAACTGCGGGTGGCAGATCCTTTTTCCTATTTAGCGCCCAAACTCTTGAACAATCTACCGATCGTTGTTCGGGAGGCAGACACACTCTGTCAGTTTAAATCTAGATTAAAGACCCATCTCTTTAACCTGGCGTACACATAATACACTAACACATTTCTAATATTCAAATCCGTTAAAGGATTGTTAGGCTCCATTAATGAGGTCAACCGGAACCGGGAACACTTCCCATAACACCCAATGTTCTCGCTACATCATAAGAAGAATGGCGCTACGCTAATATTAGTCTGTTTCTTTCTTATTCCGAGGTCACCGTAGCCATACGGATCCAGGCTGTATCCAGATCAGATGGTGGATCAGCACCTAGAGACGACCTCTACAGCCCTGAATGTCAGCGGAGACCATGTCAACTAGATGCGCCCCAGAGACAAATCCTCTATAAAGACCTCATCAACTCGACGACCATCAGGACAAGACCACGAGAACCAGATGAGTCCTCCGCACAATCTGAACTGTGTTGCAGCCTGGAATTATACCACATCATGCTGGTTTCATCTGGCCAGAGGAGAACTGGCCCCCGGACTGAGCCTGGTTTCTCCATTTCTGTCACCGATGGAGTTTTGGTTCCTTGTCACTATCACCTTTGGCTTGCTTAGTTGAGGATACTTAATTTCTGGCAATA